CAAACATCCAGAAATAAAACCATATATGAATAACTCAAATCAATACATTAAATATTCCCTCTCTATTTCCCTCAATTAACCTAATACATTTAAGATAATCCATTTCTAATTTAAATTTCTAAAAATCCTAAACCTGTTTTAGAGCTTTGTGAATTTACAATTAGCATAATCAAATTTGACTTTAAAGAAACAGATTATCAATTCAGGTATTCCTTCCAGATATATTCTAGATCTCAATCTCTTAAATCCTTAATTTTATCACAAATCTCATTTATTTCTTCTTCCACTACACAATATATCTCCTAATTAAAGTAAAATATTAGTCTATCCTATACATATATAATCCATCAATCAATCAATCTCTTTAAGATAACAAAATAACAAAATAATATCAAACCTTAAATTGTTTCAGCCCATTGGACCAAATTCAAATTTCATCCAGTTAATTATCATACCTAATAACGTCCATATTATCAGACAAAAACATCATCTTACTAATTTAACATACTCAATTAGTTATTAAATCAATCCAGATCTAAAACGCCTCTTCAGTTTTCTTCATTCCATTATATAATAGTTTTCATATAAATAAACCTATTATTCCAAAGAATACATTCTTAATCTGTTTAAAATATATATTCTAATAATCACCCATTTTTCTCTTACTTCTAATTCTAAATCTTAATCCTTAAATCAATCCATAATTCTACAGTGCCTTTGATCCATCACATATAATTTTGAATTTAACTTTTCAATCTTATTATGGCCTTTTGTTTTGTGCCAGGCATAGTCACTGAGTGATCTTCAAGAAAGCCACATGTATAGCATGTTCTGAGATGGCACGTTTCCTGGAGTCCCACCATTAATTGATGGATCCAAACTGTTTCAATTTGCCCAATGTTATTAGTAGTTGAATTGCACTCAGAAGTCTGCCACAGTTAGTCCAATGAGCTCATATGGGTATAATCAGACACAAACACTATCTACGCTGCCAGATACTGGGCCAGGTATAGTCATTGAGTGATCTTCAAGAAAGCCACACATAGAGCAGATTACAATATTCCATTAATGAAGTGACTAATGCATGAGTGACTGTTTGAAGGGCCACAATCCAAAAATCACAGTGAATGACTACTATATCATTCAGAATGTAGTATTTATAACCTCCCATTTAAAACAAAATTCAGAAAGGTGTAATATTTGTCATTTTATTCTCCCAGGTAAAGTCCAAGAAGAAATTGCAAAAGAGATTGGCGACCTCCAGCCAACGACAGAAGACAGAGCAAAAATGCCTCATACCGATGCCGTAATTCATGAAATTCAAAGGTTTGCTGACATTGTTCCCACCAATTTGCCACATGCAACCACCATGGATGTAACTTTCAAGGGTTTCTTCATCCCCAAGGTGATCAGTCTGAAATTTCTGTATGAGACAAGGCCTAGCCTTTTTTTAACATACAAGACAGAATTTTAGTAAAGTGCAGTTTTTGTTACTTACTTTTATTTTCTTTAAAATAATAACAGAAAAAGAAAAAATAACAAACAGAAACATATAGTATAAAAATACACAAGAGGTTAAAAAGGTAAGTGAAAAAAAATACAACAGAAAAAAATAATTGCAAAAGAGATTGAAATTTCTCAGCAACAGACAGACCACCAAGCAAAATGCCTTACACTAATGAAGTTCAAATTCACAAAGTTCAAAGGTTTGCTGACATTGTTCCCACCAATTTGCCACATGCAACCATCATGGACATAACTTTCAAAGGCTTCCTCATCCCCAAGGTGATCAGTCTAAAATCACTGCATTGTATAAGATCTAATCTATCATGTACACTACAGTGTGGTGGAAAAATGAGTCCTTAAATGAATGGACTTGGCTAAATCAAGTTGATCTGTAGAGCTATAAGACCACAGCCTGTTATCCCTTTAGAAAAACACTCCTAGATGCATATTTCAAAGTGCCAATGGCAGATGTTTTTCTTTGGTATCTGGCATTCCCAAACTGCCCCCACCTCTTGATTTATGGGAGATGCTTTCCTCTCCTTTCATTTTTTTTTATTTTGCCCTCATCTGCTTCTCTTCGGTAAGCCTTTATTATTTGTTTTGGGTCCTGCATTTTGAGTCCACAAGTTTAAGGTATAATGATTCAGTATAGTAAAATACAGCTTACCATCTATTTAGAATTGGTCCAGCTGATAGTCAATTAATTTGCCTATGTATATATAAATAAAACACAATTTTTAAAATTTAGTTAGAAATTGAATGTTGCTGCAGGCCCAATAATATTTTAAAAATCACTAGAATAATATATAATATATTATAGCCATGTATTAAGAGGACATACTCCTTTTCATATACTTTTTTTTCCGTTCAACCTTTAGGGCATGTACATCATTCCATTACTGACTTCTGTGCTCCATGATGAATCTCAGTGGGAGAAGCCTCATGACTTCTATCCTGAGCATTTTCTTGACTCTGAAGGAAAATTTGTGAAAAGGGATGCATTCATGCCATTTTCCGCAGGTGAGATTCTCTGATGTCGTAGAGTGTGTTCTATAAAAGGCAGCCCTTAATTCCTTGTTTGAAAACAATTGATAAAAGCTTGATCTCATAGACCTTATTCTGACAAGAGTTTAGGCCTCATGGACAGGCTCATTCAGGGATGAGTATGTTGATTCCAGAGTCTGCCAGGGGAATCCTCAGCTCTGTGCCTGAGTTACAGTTACTCCTGCTGTGCTGGCCTCAGCATCTCTGCGTTTTGGCAGTCCAAGAGGAATCTTATCTTTCAGGCTTCCTGGCTGACTGGGGCCTTCAGACCAAAGAACTTTGGCTCTTCTTAGCTTGAACCCTTTATTGGCTTTTCTTAAGCTTTTATTCTTAGGTCAGAGCAATGTGGCAGAGCATAAAATGCAACAAAGCAAAATAAAATAAGAGCATTAGAGAGAAGGGAACTGGATTAAAATTAAACCAGAGCTACAATTAAGTACAATTTAAAAAAATCTTTCTAAGTTTAAATGACAACAAAGCAAAAACAGAACCCTGAATTCTAATGGTTTGAAACACATCTAACATAATCTAATTCAGTCATTTGAGGTCCAAGCCCTTGAGCTCACCTACTGTTAGTAGTTTGGCCCCGATTTCATTGTAAGCTAGGCAGTAGAGGACAGATACAATAATATTTTCCCCATGACAGACCACACAGGGACAGAGATGCTGTTCAACAGGGTGCTTATCAGGATGAAAATATCCTGACCACAATCGGATATTTATCAGCATTCTTTTCAAGAAGGCTTTCTCTGAAATTTTCTGTTTCAAGAACTAAAATTTCCCCAAAGAGCATAGAATTAGATAAGCAGACGGGATTCCCTGGAGAAGCCTAGAATCTTCCCCATGAAGTTATTTTGGATTGAGTAATAACCCACTCATGCCAACACCTATCTTGGCTCCATAAATATCTGAGTTGTCACCTTGCTCTACAATATATTAATTGCCCTCCTCTGGAATAAAGAACTTAAGGATATTGCCCACACCTTTTTTCCCATCTGCAGGACTAATAAAATGTCATTCCTAGATAGCTAAAAGAGAGGCATTACTCCATTTGTTGGCATTAATCTGCCATCTTTTCTTACTTTATTTTCAAATTAAGAAATCTGCTACCATTTAATGGCTGGAAAAATTCTCTGTCTCCATTTCTTTACTGCATTTTTACTTCTTTCCATATCTTTGATCTGTTATTGTTTTCCTGTGTGCTGCTCTGTCTGTGGCCATAGGACATTGGGAAACCATGTGAAATAGTTTAAGAAACCAATAAACACATTTCTCTCCCTCCCTCCCTCCCTCCCTCTTTTTTTTTTGCCACGTATGCTTTCTTCCAGGTCGGAGAATATGTGCTGGTGAGAACCTTGCCAAAATGGAGCTCTTCCTCTTCTTCACCAGCCTCC